GCTCCTATACAAACTCACCAGTGGGAGGGTGGACAGCCTCACCTGAACGAGAGGCTACAAGCATGTCCTGGAAAAGAAGAAAAGGTTATCTGACCTCATCAGGACAATTAAAAGCTCCTTTGCACTAGGCAAACATCCCACAGTGAGTAATGCAAAGATATGTTTGGGTAAAAGAAAAATGTCCCAGAATTAAAAATTTTTTTCAAACCACGCATACAGTCAACTACTTAAACTTTTGAAGCCTAAATTCACCCTTCAAAAATGACTTTTTCGTTTAAAAGTTTTCTCTTTAGTATTGAAAAAATCTCAAGAGGGACTTCCTCGCTGGAGAAAGACTTGGAAAAACCCCAGACCTAAACTAAAAGCAGTGATCTTGGCCGGCAGTGTTCTGGCTTCCCCTCTGCTATTATTAAGTATCCTTCTGTTTGACTAAGAATTTCTCCACCTCTCACAAGCCATCGTTTTTCTTTCTGTATCCAGAAAAATCTGAAAACCATGTGTTTATGAGCCTGTTGCTATGCACATCATTAAAACACATTACAAAAATCTCTCCTTGGAGTCAGGAGGAGAATATAATGGGGGAAGAGGACCTGCTAGCAAGAGTCCCTTCGCCGAACAGAAAAGCTGGCAAAAAAAGAACAAGAGAAGCAAAGCAAAATGGAAACAAAAATTATGGTGGCCCCATCCCTTGAGTCATTTTAACCAAAAAGGGGGAGGGGGAAACTAACATTTTTAAAGCCCCAAGATAATGTGTCTTACAGTCTGGAGTGGGGTTAACCAACTCTTAATCTTTTTAATTCCTATGGTTTCATGACTCATCCTCCATCTGTCTACTAGTGTGTCCTATTCACCAGTTTTTTTCGCACTTCTGTAAGAATGTCAAGAATTTTTTTTTCCTTTTATGTGTACTCCCGTGTGCATTCCTTTTTTGATATCTTTTGTCTTCTCATTCAATTATCACCTAAAAGTGGAGCCTGAATTGTCCATTTCTTCTCCAGTGTGATCACAGTTTCTTAGCTGGTTTCTCTCACTTATGAAGAGGTTTGTTCTTCAAAAGTCATAGCCAGGGAGATGAGATGAGACAAAGTATGTCAAAGTTAATGTAAAAAAATAAAAATAAACAACAACAACAACAACAGAGCTTCTCAATTTCCTAATTTAAAAAATCTGGACTTGATCATTTTAATAAAGTCCATCACCTTCTTAAATGGTTTGCAACCAACACCATTCACAAATTTTTGTTCTGTTGTTCCATATACTCTATGAATTTCCAAGTTTTCTAGAATGGGATTGTCTGGGGACAAGAACTGAAATAGATGCATTTTAAATACATCTTCCGTTCACCTCTATATGTCTTAACATATAGAGGTTCACACACACCCCATAAAAAAAAATAAATAAATGAAAAAACCCAGAGTATTAATTCTGAACTTTGTCCTTATTCAGAGATAAGAAATGGCTGGTCCTAATACTACAGAACCTGCTTACTCTCAAGAAGAAGTAGCCAAACCATTGCAAACATGTGTTGGGTAAAAACAAGTCTGGTTGGCTCCAGACAAAGGCTTATTTTTTAAGCACAGATGGTTGAATGGTTGCCTCCTCCAACGGTTGCCCACAATGAAAGACAGATTTCTACTTCTAATCTATGCAAACATCTTACTCTGAGGGCATCACAAAGGCTAACTGTTTTGTGTCAGACACGGCAGATCCCAGGTGCTCTCAGGTGCCAAAGCCCATCTCCCACCTGAGATGCCTGGTAACTTGGATGAGAGGATGGCTGGTGAGTTAATCACTAACCCTCCTCCTTCTGTGAAACACTCCTCTAGAACCCCGCCCACCCCACCACTGCTTTCTCCTAGGCTGCTCTGCCTGGAGACAGTTTCGACATTCAGATGGGACCCCAGATGCTTCTAAAACTTCCCAAGAAGGCTCAGATTCCTCCCCCACCACTCCCCAACCCCTGAAAAAAGGCTTCTAATGACTTTAAATTCAGCTCTATTCATCTCTAACATCAAACCCAGAAACCTTGAGCATTTAAAAGGGTTAAAGAAGTACAGATTAGTAGTTGATAGTTGATCATGGGGATGGGGAGCACAGCAAAGGGAATGCAGTTAGCATTAATACGATGGCTAGGTGGAGGGCCAGGGGAGGGAGGGAGCAATTGGGGGGATCGTTTTATGAACTAGATAGATGTCTAACCAATGTACTGTATACTTGAAACTAATTAAAATTAATAAATTAAAAAAAAAAAAATGTTATCCATCCAAACCAGGTCTCCTTTTCTACTCTAGTCTATGTGTCTACCACCCACGGCAGGTCTGGTGAGTCACACCTGCGTCACTGTTGGTGCCCCCTCGGCCTTCCCAAGTATATGTTATTCCTTTTTTCTTTCTTTTCTCCCTCTATACATTTCTCTTTACTTAGAATACTATTCTCTCTTATTTCTCCATCTCCCCAGGTTAAGCCTTTGACTTGCTCTGACAGCCCTTGGCACATTCTAGTTGTATGGCCCCATGGGGCAACAAAAATTCCTACAAAACAAGCGCGCGCGCACGCACACACATACACACGCGCGCGCACACACACACGCCTCCTCGTGCAAACCCAGCTCCTAACTTTAAACATCCTTTGACATACAGAGGTTATACCTGAAATGTCTATAGCTAACTGCCAACATTTAAGCCTAAAAATGTCCTTCAAAGTTTTGAATTATTTTCTTTGTAGTTTTTCTGATCAAATAACAGTTTGCTTCAAAATCCTGTGTTGAAAAACACTTCTGGCCTTCCTATTAAACTGAACCAAGCTAACTGAGCAACAATAAATTCAAAAAAAAAAAAAAAGGAAATGCTTGCTATTCTCTAGCCCCATAACCACCACCACCACAAATTCTTACCCTATATCTCAGATTTTGAGATTTAAACACTTTTTGCTTTGTTTCAGCTTATGAATGTGAATATTGACAGTCAAATAATGCGTCGTTAACTTTACTTACGTGGAGAATCTAAAACTGTAAAGGGCTTTGGAGGTTGACTCATTTACTAATCCCAAGTCTGGATGACCATCGGAACTGCCAGGGACTATTATTTATTTTAAACAGTACATCCTCCTGGATCCTAGCCTTAGATATTCCAATTCAGACCTCTGATATTTATGATAAATGGCCCAGGCCCTAGTCTGTGTGAGAACCATTGGCCTGGTCTGACATCCTACCCCACGCGGTGGCCTCGTCTACAGGACACCACACCGAGGACCTGCTCGGTGCTACCACACTTCCAGACACTGGGGCTGGATGTTGCTTTTACATGTCTGACTGTTCCACTTTTACATGGTTTTAATTATTAGAAACTGTGTTCTCATTTGAGCTAAATAACCAGCCTTTCAACTCCTTGAACTTCACTATCAGCCCTCATTTTGTGTTCCAGAGGTGACCCAGAATCTCCTCCCCGCGAGTCTTCAAATCCCCTAAGCGGCTATAGCAGCCTTGCAAGTCTTCATTTTTCTAAGCTTAAACAACCTTCTTTAAGTTCATAAAGCACAATTTCTGAGTCCCTGGCCATTTCAACTGCTCTTCCTCAACAAAAGAACTTACAGAATAAGTCTGTCTCAAGCGACAACGCCTTGTTTCTTTCTCACAGATGGAACTTCTTCCAGTATGCATTAATAGCCCGGGTTTCATCCTTGTTACTCATCGCCTTGCATTTAATGGTCCGAGAGCCACAGATCAGCAAGTCCCTATTAACCTAATGCTGTGTTCCTAACAGTGTGTAAAGTATTCACAGAAGAGTCAGAGCCAGAGGAAACCATTCCATTTTGAGACATAAATAATTCCTTGTAAATAAAGGACTCAGAGGAGGGAAATAACTTGAAAACAATGCACGACAATATGCAACCAAGTGCTTCAAATGACTGACACCTGAAAGAGTCAACACGGGTTTTCTGGGTCAAACTGTGAGACCCTCACGACCTCTGTTTATACAGACACCGCCAGCTTACAATAGTTTTTGATTTAACAAAAGATTATAGAAACTATTACCTTAAAATGCACATAAAAATTTCAAATGCATCCTTATCTCAGAAATTTAAAATCTAAGAAACTATATATGCAATAATCGAGTAGGATAATCTTCCTTTGTCTCAGTTCATCACTGGTGTTCCTTCTCCAGCACGCTGAATGCCATGATCGGGGTCAAAGGTGAGAATCAGTGAGTAATTCCCTTTATTAGGAAAATAAAGAAGACTCCTCACCCCCAGCATATGTTAATGGAAAACTCTTACCAATGAGTTGACTGTACTAACCCCAATAAAAATGCACTTGCTTCGTTCACAGACTCGTAGACTATCAGAACTTTAGGAACTTATCCAAAGTTCCTAAACTTTGGATAGGAGTGTGTGTGAGACTTCGGGGAAAGACAAGGGGAAACACCGTTTCCAAGATGGCAGGTGACTTTCTCCAACGTCAAGCGGCCACTGAGCAGGAGGGTGGGACCCAGTCCTGGGTCTCCTCTCATTTAACCTAAGACAATCAAAACTCTGGCTCTCTCCACATTTTCCTCAACTCTACCCCTCTCATCTTCCGTTCCCTCCTCAATCCTCAAGTCCAAAGTCTGATGGCACTTTTTGTTTGGGGACGTTCTGAGGGAAGGAGTGGACTAAACAGAAAACAGGCAATTAATTTTTTTATTAAATTCTAGTGTATTTTACCCACAGTCCCTAACTAATACTTCTATGCCGCTAAACACAAAATGCTACCTAACTCAGGATCGCTACTACCTTACTAGCATTACAGGGAACCACTGGGGTTGGCTACATGGATTCCAATGACAACTCTAGAGCTACAAAGCAACTGGCAAACAATCTCTATCTACTCCACCCTCTCCCCTTCCCAACCCCCTCCCTCCCACACACACACACACTCCTATATCAACCAGCTCATCTGCTTCATCTGAAGTCTCACAGTTCATCCCCACCCTTATAGAGAACATGGGGAAAAATGTACCTACCTTGTGGCCTCTTGCTGAAGCCATGACACATTTGGCACATAAAACATGACTCCGAAGAAAAGCAGAGGCTCATTAGCGAATTTGTCCAGATGTTTCTTCAGAGGTTTCTCCAGCTCCACCCATCGTGCTTGCTGGCTCTTGCTGAGAAACCAAAGGCCAAAGTAGTGTGTCTGGATAAAAGGGTAAAACAGCATCAGTTCATGCTCACAAGGGCCATCCCAAGACCACACAGGAAATGAGACTCCAGAGCCTCACGTCACCTTCGAATGCCCAGCCCATCCACAAGGGTCAGCTTTTACTTTCTAAGTTTGGGTCAAATTAAAAAGAAATCACATGCACACAATACTTTGACCTACACTGAGTCTGCAGAGGCAGTATTCACACCCACTGCTGCTGTCTGTATACGTGGATATCGATGCACCTACATGAGGTAAGGGGCAGGGTACAGAGTGGACAGTGCTGACTTTTTTCTTAAGATCTCAAGGCTGACTCTCCTGTGGCTTCTGAATGCCTCGTGCTCTCATATGGAGCACGCTGGCAAAGGTGAGCACAGCTCTTGCACCTGCTAACAGCAAGGTAACTGATTACTCAACTTCTAAGACAAAACCTTCTGCCAGCTGAAAGCTTCCACAGTGTAGCATGTTTTCATCCAGAATCAGATTTTAACTAAAAACTGATTCACTCTTTCTGGGCTTTAATGGAGTCCTTTAAAAAACACAGCCTCCGCCGCTTCATTATACATGAACTGCCGCAAATCTCTCCATGTCGGGCTTTCAGAGTAGGGGGGATCTCTTTGCAGCTGTCACAGGGGCCCCCGGTGGCTCTTCTTGGCAGTTTACAGTGGGATTTGATAGATGAAAGTGGGATTTTCGCCCTTAGATTTGAAGCTTCAACCAGTTTAGTTTTGAACAATGTGCTAAATGATTAAAACAGGTACTTTTATGCATCCAATCCTGTCTTTATATTAATTAATGCTCAGATTTCAGGATTAGCACAACAATCACCAAAAAATAGATCACTGCTTTTGAAGCATTCTTTTACATTTCAATTACAGCCTAGCATGCTTTACAGCACACCTGGAAATCTGCCTTCAGAAGAATGTTTTCATTGCGATGTTTAATTTCCAAAGGCATTTCTGTGCAGATGTTCCCACTCCAGCTGGCTGCCCCCGCAGCCATACCATAGATCAACCCTGCCACAACCCCACCAAAATCTGCAATAAAGCTCTGACTCTGATTTTACTAGAAAACCAGACGTGCTCTTGCCTCCAAAAAGCTCCAGACCCAAGTACTCTAAAGGATATTTTTAAATGATACTTTCAGATGGGAACAGTGATCGGATCAGCTTTTCTCCACGACATTCCCAAGGGCAAGTTCACACCAGGAGTCTATGCATTACTTGAGCAACGAAATGCCAACAGAGCCAAGGTTTGACTTCTATCGACTTGGCCAAACTTCTTTGAGTGAATTCTGGCCCGACTGTCCTTCGCCAGCTTCAGTTAGTCCATTATTTGTTCCAATGTGACTGACGACACAGAGGAAACGAAACGTGGCTGAGGAGAAGGACGACAGGCTTTGGAGTCAGCTCCTCTCCTGGCTTTCACGCTGTCTTAGTAACTGTGTCCTAGTCACTGAGCCCCGCAGAGTCTCAGCTTTCTCACCTGTGAAATGGGGATGATGATTACAACTATCGCCCACAGGCTGTTTGAGGTATAAATGAGGTGAGGCCTGTCAACTGTATTGGGGGAGAGGGGCACACAGTTAAGTGACAACTTCACATATGGCACCTTCTGTTGCTGTTGCTGCTACTGCTACGATCATCATCCTAATCGCCATTATCAGTAAATGAAACCGGGCAAGCCTCAAGAATCTCCTGTCATATGCCTACTGGTGTCCCTATGAACCACAGAATTAGAAAACAGAGGTTATCCAGAAATAAGTGAGAAAAAGCAGGCAAAAGTAGAAGCTGAAAGGCCTATAAATAACAAAAAATCTAAAAGGTGTAAGGAAATAGTCGCGAAGCAGTGCCTAAGATTTTCTTCAGGGTCTCATTATAGGTGTTTATGGGACACTGGAACATCACTCTGATGCTGTCCTAGGGGACCGATGATGTAGGCTTAGGCTAATCTTAAAATGAGGTAATCTGAGTACTTAATTTAATAAACTGTCTAGAAAGGAGCCAAGGCAGGCTGCATCACACTGAATTTCTTTATGGAGCACAGTGCCATAGAGCAGGGGTCCCCAAACCCCAGGCTGCAAACTGATACCGTAGGTCCACGGCCTGTTAGGAACCGGGCCACACAGCAGGAGGTGAACGGCGGGCGAGCGAGCGAAGCTTTATCTGTATTTGCAGCCGCTCCCCAGCGCCAGCATCGCCGCCTCAGCTCCACCTCAGATCAACAGGCATCAGATTCTCATAGGAGCACCGGTCCCTGGTGCCAAAAAGGATGGGGACAGCTTGGATGGCTAGCAATGAGTCTGTATATAATAAATGAGGTAATATATGTAAACAGTAACATGCTATGTAATATTATTTTAGCTGGAAAAGTACTCTTTTGCAAGCATGGGTGGAGAAAGGGAGGGCAAACTTTGCGGTTCCTTAACAGGCCAACCAGGAATTATCATCTTTTGCCAAAAGTAGATGACATTTGGGGGTATAATTTTATGGTCCATACTTCATTCAAATTATAACATTCACTCAAATTAGTAATATTCAAATTATAAAGGGTTCACAGTAACTGCATAAATATTCTACAGTGGATTTTTTAAAAGAAAATTTTAAAAATTTATTTTACTATTCCTATGCTTTGAAGGGTTAGTATTTTAAATTTCCTTTTCTTATTCCCACCCACCCAATCACTAACCCAGGACGGATCTTCCCAAAAAATATACTCTGAGAAAGAATATTGCATGGAGTACACACGCACACCCAAGGGCACGCACAGAGATACCTGCACACACACGTGCACACAGTGAAAGGAGGATGATAAAGTACAAGAGAAATCACGGTAAGGTAATATAGTCTTGAGCCTTTTTCCAGGAGACAGGATATTTCAAGGTGACTGGCCATGCATTTATCCAATGATGTAATCAGAGAACTATTCAAAAATGGGATTTTCAGTGCAGGGTAGTACTGGAGGAGACAGGTACCCTAGAGGTCAGTTTCAACCTACTCATGGCCAGAACAACCTAATTTTAGAAGCAAGCGCTGAATTCAGTTATCAAGAGGGAAGGAAAATCTCTGTACGAGATTCCCATCCCCACGATGTCCTGCGAAGCTATGCCCAAAGTAACCTCTGCTCCTACCCTACCTCCCTCATTCCTCCGCTGGCCATGTTCCTACTCTTCAGTATTCAGCAGAGGAGAAAGACCGTCTCAAAGTTCTTATCCCGCTCTGTCCAGGTTTCAATGCAACACAAGTTTATTCTGCAATGTGTATATAGTGCCTCGCAGGAAATGGAATCAGAACCTAACAGCTCACTTAAACTAACATGTGCACCAACCAACTTCCTGTTTATTAGCCAAGGGAGCATTAAGCCCATCAAGCCCAGCTGGGACCATACCAGGCCTGGTCAGAACGGACTTGCCCATTTAAACTCCAGCTGAATTCTGGAAGCTGAGCTCCATTCCTAAACATCGCCACGTGGTTGAAATCCAAAAAGGATCCCCTTGTGTTGCCCGATTAATGCTGGAGACACTGTTTGGTTTATTTATCTCTGAGGCAGCCAATATAAGCCAGGTCCATCTCGTCCTCATGAAACCTCTAGGTAAGCTATAAATCGCATTTTATTTCTCTGGTTTGCTTTAGAAAGCAGCTCAGGTGCCATGAATTCTGCAATGAGTTCACTGCAACGCAGAGAAAAAAAGACAGAAGATCTCTGGTTCCCAGGGAGAGAAACCACATCTCTGAATCAATTACTAAAAATGCACCACTAAGAAAAAACACAGGGGAGCCACACTAAATTGTCATTTTCATATGAGTAGTTTCCTGGTTTATGTGGTTTGGAGTTTCGCATTTTAAGAGAGGAAGCCTAAGTATATGCAAAAATATGCTAGTGTCTTCGGTGGCAGAGTGGTGTGTGAGGACTTTAGTGTTGAAGTTAAGACCTCTCTTCCAGCATCATGAAAAGATAACAGTGAATAATGACCTTTAAAAACAGTGTGGGGTGTTTTTGATTCATTTATCCATTTGTTTGTAGAGACGGTGTTATCCCCCATATTCACTATTAATAGGAAAAGAATTTTTTGAGGGTTTTGTTTTTCCAGTTTTGCGACAAATGGAAGAGCTTTAATGCTACTACTTGGAAGGGTTACAGACATTGTCTTGGCAATTACTAGGGATTAAACCCACGATCTTATCTCATGCATTTTGAAGAGTTAATCATCCAGAAGCAAGAGTTTAAAATTTCTTGTATTAGGTTGTAATAGGTTGCCTGTAGTACCCAGTATGTCAGTTGTAAATGAAGAATCAGGGTTGGTATGCCTCCCCAGAAAACACACAGGAATTGTGGAAAGCCCTAAAACTTCCACTGAGGCATGGAAAATACTTCAAAAGATGACTGACTATAAGCAGACTCTGAAACAGCACTTCATGCAAGTCCATTGCAATGGCTTTGGAAAATAAACCACTATACGTCAGTTGGATAACTATAGAAAACAACTCGTGTACGATCACAACCTCTACTTGGGGTAGGTCTGGGATTTCTATAACTGACACATCTATAATTAACAACTGCACCATCTTCATTTTTCTAGCCAATCTCTTCACTAAAGTACAGGAAAAGAAACTGCAGAGTAACACAGACCTGAGGAGCAAATCTCATAGCCAAGAAAAATCACACTTCTGAGGCTGCACAACTCACTTGGAATATACGAAAAGACGAAGACTTACAAGTTAAGGCTGGGGAAATTATTTCACCTATAATCTCTATGTCTAGAAAATAGACACTGGTACCAATTTACCTTACAGAATTACCATCGAGCAAATAAGATTTCACATCATTATCCTGACAAAGACAAAATGCAACACAAATCTTAATCAGTGTTAATTATTTTAGCTCTCTGCCCATACAAACATATATGGTTGTGCTTAAGCGGGCTATAAAATACAGAAAATACCACTATTATCTGATATGGTCAGGAAATTGGGTGTTCCATTTAATCAAGTACTC